ATGGCAGGAGTACGAACCAAGGGCTCTCCAGAAGTTGAACTATAACTCCTCTCTTTCCTGCCCATTAGTCACTGTGGCCAAAGCTTAATCAGAATCTTATAACATCTAGAAAGCTGCTAGTTTCCCATCACTGATTTGTGGATTGTACTAATCAGGCTAACCCAAGAAGTTTGCTACCTGGTGATCAAAAGGAATTAGTGAGTTTATCTCGGCACTGATTGCTGACTGCACTAAGATGTGATTTAAAATATCCATTAATAAGAAAATGCTTAGATTTGACAAAAACTGTACCTTTATGGAAACAAAGTTGAAATATGGGATTTACTTGGTTAATAATATCATTTTCACCCTGTACAATATCATTGTGTTTGCCTGTTTTGTTTGTTTCTAGAAAGGCCTGCACAACCTCAGGCTCACAGGCCAAGACCAACAATCCAGAGCTCCCCAGGCAGCTGCACCCCTTTCCTCCTGACTTCTGATCATTTGCTAGTTGCCTGGCTCATGTGTCTTTTCCCATTTTAAAAGGCTGAAATGTCTCTTCTAATCTTATTTCATGGCACTAAGAGCCGAAAGCTAAAATATGCTGGTGTTTTGATGGTGCTCTGTTTTGTCTTTGCCTTCAGCTCTGCCCACCACTGGAATGCAACACCAAAGAACCATTGGGCTGAAGGAGGCTGGTATGGCATTTAAAACTTTTTTTAAAAATTTCTTTTTCCCACCCATACACTTGTTTAAAGTATTTCCCAATAAAAGGATCTGGTTATATTATCAAAATAGCAGTGGACCCATCCACAGTGTTTAATAAGAACCATATTTGGCAAACGGCCTTTAAGGAAGTGTCCTGCCCAAAGATCTTTCAGACATTCCAGTCTAATGCACCATAGTAACCATGGTCTATGACAGCTCTAAACTTAGGGAGGGGGAACCGGCAGGGTGGTCTGAATTGTGGTGCTGTATTTTCAAAGGACAAAAGAAGACCAGGCAGGTAGACTGAAGAGGGGGACAAATGAGAAATACAACAGAAAAAGTCTCATTAGGAAGCATACATGACTGTTATTAAAGTATGAAAATTACTTGACAGATGTCCAGGAAAATAAGAGGTAACTTTGGGTTTAAAACCTCAAAACCAGACACACCCCATAGAACTGGAATGTGACAGAAGGAAATGCCATATCGGGCATTCTTCATGCCTGGGAATCGTCTTCTGCTATTGGAAAGAATTTGAACATCAAAATAATGTAAGCTGGATGAAACAACAGGGGAAAAGGATAAACATTTGCTCTAAATCTAATTAAGCTTTTCAATCCAATCATTTCTTGCAAAATGGTGAGAAAGAGCTCATTTTAGGGTTCTCACAGCATTTGATTACATGCTTGCCAGCTGTAAATCTTCAGGAAAGTTTACATCACTGTTGCTGTATGAAATACTCAGGCACTCATGCAAAATGTGGACATCACATAGAAGTGTGAGAGTGCCTTGGAAGTTTGGACCAGGTTTCCCAGATGACTGTATACCAGGTAATACCTGCTTTAGTATTTTTTTAAAATGAAAAAAAATGGTGTAGAACTTCTCTGATATATAAATCAATCCACAAATTATGTTTGCTATAGGAAACACTGGAGTTTCCCACAGCAATTATATTTGTGGCTGCTCTGGTTTGTCTTCTCACTGGACTAGATTGAAATTTAAAGACTGGCTGTAATATAGCTAGAAATGATTTTACATCTCGGGGCTTTTTCACCCACTTCCTTAGGATCCACTGAAGGAAAAACAGCTGAAGTAAGATAGCTGTGGAAAGTTATAGCTTAGTCAAATCCAATTCCTCTTGTTGCTATGGCATTTTGCAATGCAAGTTAAACTAATACCATCTGGAAGAGTAAGCTAACAAATCAGAAGGCAGGAATAAAATTCAAAATAACCTTGATAGACTAGATAATATGTCTGAATGAAAATAAAGTTTGACAAATGCAAAATTCTGCACTTAAAAAATATTAGAAATTCAAATACAGTACAAAGGTATAGGATAAGGGTCATCTGACTGGGCAGCTGTACATATGGAAAGAATCTTGGGGTCACTTGCAAACTGAACATGAGACAGCAATGTGATGCATCTGCAAAAAGCAGGCTTATGTAATTTTAGCCTGCATTAATAGAAACCTTGGTTGCCAGGTAGTAATAAATTCCACTTAATTCTGCACCAGTCTGGAGCAATGTGCCTAATTCTGAATGTGATCTAAAGAAGGACATAGACATATTGCAATGGATTTGGAGGAAGACAACAGAGGTATCAAAGAAATGGGAAACAATGCCAGAGAAAGACAGAAGGAAGTGAGTATATTTAGTGTAGAGGTCACTGAGATGGGGGCTTGATAGCTGAATAGTTGAAAGGTTATCATACAGAAGAGGGCAAAGCCTTGTTCTCTGCTGCCCAGGGTGCAGGGCTAGATAGGTTAAGTTGAGGGCATTTATTTGAATAGTAAGAGAAAATACTTAGCAGTATTAGCAGTTTGATAATAGAGCCAAATACTTGCAGAAGGGCAACCAGGGTGGTATGGTGTGGGGGGCATTGCTTGCCCAAGGTCTTCAAGCAGAGGGTGACAGCCACACACTCAAGGTTTTGATTTCTGCACTGAGCAGGGGTTTCAACTGCCTGACCCAATTCAAGGTTTGAACTTTTTGACTCCTAAATGCTTCAGAATCGGGATGCCTCAAAGCCACCTTTCGACATGGATCTGCCTGCTTATTAAGAAACTTACCTGAGGTCCTTCTGCAGAAAGAACTCTGTGATGAGGCAAGGTGTGGCCCAGTAGAACTTTTCATCTTGTAGACACTGCTCTTTCACTAGGACGCTTGCCTCAGTTCCCCTTTTTCAGCAAAGTTTTTCTCAGACTCTGGGTTCTTTCCCTCCTCTTTTGCTTGCTCCCTTTCTGTATTTTAAATGCCCTTGTAGTGTTGTGGTACTGGCATGTAGAGCAGCTGAGATTTGTTTTTTAGCCACTCTTGTCTGGCACCTCTGTAGCTTGGCAAACAAGCCATGGTTCTGGATTTATCATAACCCATGATTTAAACAACCCAGGCTTCACAATTCAAGAAAACTGTGGGTTTTCTTTCTGGGTTGCACATTATAACAATCCAGAATTCAAGTACCCATAGAAGCATGTGTGAACCCAGCCAGTGAGAACGTGTTTTCCAAATTATATTGAAAGTTTTGTGTTTTAAACTGGGGGAGGGATTTGTGCAGAAATTTTTAAGATGATTTAGAATTTTATGCCTCTTATTGTGTCACAAGAAATGACAAACTGAATTTTCTCAAGCTTTGTTAATTACAGCAGGGCACAAGGCAGGGCTGATCTGTCTCCTTTGATATTTAATTTGTGCTTGGAACCTTTGACGTGTGCAATTAGGACATGTTTGTCCTAATTTACAGTTTGTACATGATCAGGTTGAATATAAAGGGGCTTCATATGCAGATGATTTTACATCTATTAATAGGTTAATAATTTCAATTAAATTTATTTAAAGTATTTAAATGTATTCAAATTTAAATTAAAAGTGGGCTAGTTTCCTGTACTGCATTGAGTAGGACTGATACCTTTAATACTTTCAGGTTACATTATTAATTGGTCAAGAGCTGAATTAATGCTTGTAGAATCAAGATGTCCAGTGTAATTACTTGAATATTTTTGCAGTGTACAGAAGTAATTAAGTAAATTGATGCCTAGAAGTATTTTCCAAATGACTTAACTAAATATGTTAGGCTATATGATGCCCATAACCCTCTGAACTTGGAGAACTATAGGCATCTTATGTAACATGGAAGAAGCAAAGAGGTAACCCTCACCTTTGCACTCTTCTGCCTTGAAAAATACTTGCAAGTCAAAATCAGACATCTTTAGTGTCACACTTCACAGTGCAAGGAAGATGAAGGACCACCAGAATACCTCTTAGTTTGGCAGTGCTAGTTTCCTCCCTTTCTCCCAGAATACCTGCTCAGTGCCTGAGTTTGCTCTTGTAATCCTGAAGCGCAAGCTATCATGGTTCTTCGGGGTCCTTCTCTGGGAGCTTCTTCCACAGAAGTGAGGTGGGTGGTTACAAAGAGGGTCTTTTTGATTGTGACAACCAGGTTGTGGAACAATAAGGAGATGCACCTGGCACCTACTTATTCTTTTTGCAGCCAGAGGAAGGCCTTTCTTTTTCCCAGCATTTTAACTTTTTAATGTTGCATTTTATTGTGCACCACTGCTATGCTTCTGTGTCAACTCAATTCTACTGTGCTTTGTTGTATTAATTTTACCTTGTACATGTGTTTTAACTAACTTTTGTTAACCACCCAGAGAACCTTGGCTATTGGGCCATATAAAATGAAATGAATAAACTTATTTGGCATCTTACTTTTGCTGGATATTAGAATTTATCTATAGTCAATAAAAAGAAATGGCTCCAAATACCTCACTGGGCTTTTAATATGATGTCCTACCGTGGTTTCACTTCAGTTGCAATTCAGTTTTGCCCTTGAAAAGCCTGTTCATTGTGGGTATTCCAGGACTTTTATATTATGGAAAGCAAAAGTAAACACCAAGAGCTCTCACACTTGGAGACACATACTTCTAGGTTGAAAGGAGAAGCACCCACCACTTACTTAATGAGCAGAAAGAGCTTACTGTTCTCGCTGTGTTTGAGCATATTTGTATTTCATTTGGATGCTTATTTAGCTTATATTAACACAAGTGTTTGAAACAAAAGTGTCAGGTCTCTTTTTCTTTTATTAATGATGTCCTAAGTGATTGTATATGAATATGTTTTATGTTATTGTCTTCTTTTGTGACTTTTGTTGAATTTGCAAACAGAAACGAATAAGGGAAATAGACTGCATAATGTACCACCACACACCAAGTTAAATGATATTTACATAAGGTCCAGTGCAGTTCCCATGTTTTAATAGAAAGCATAAGCCATGAATGACTTAATGGACACTTAACAGAATCTCATGTTTCACAATGCAGCATTTGAGGAATTTTATTGATATAGCAATCTTATTTCAAAATGGCATTATTACAAAATGTAAAAATCCAGCTAAACCAGAACTGCGACCTTTTTTTCCTGGGCCTTCAGAATCACTGATCTTACCCTCCAACTCTTTTCACCATACTCACAATCTTCATTGCTGACCTGATTACACAGGTGCAAGATGTGCCAGAATGGCCTGGTATAGATAAATACATCAAGAAAGGCAAAAGCTGTAAAGCTAAATGCATGCAACAGGTTCTACCAGGAAAAAAACCCTCAAAGGATAACCGCAAGTGAGATTTAAAGAGAACTGCAGACTCAAGAGTTCTGTTTAGTCATCTTTGTCCTTTGCTCCATGTTTAAGGATGCGTGTGAACTCAATGTAACTGAAATTGCCCTTTTTATCAATTGGTGCCTCTCTGAACAGCTCATCTACTTCTTCATCTGTAAACCTGTCTCCCATTGTCGTGAGCAATTCTCTCAGGTAGTCTTCCTGAATGAAGCCTAAAAATATCAGGAGAGAAAGAATGACTCAAATTTTCATGCTGTTAGATACACACAGTAGGTTAATACTCAGGGCAAAATCCATTATCTCACAAGAAGTTCCTTCCCCCTCCCACAAAATTCTCCTTCAGAACACTCTCCTGCTACTTCATTGGATTTCATTTCCAAGGCTGAGCACGCTCCTTTACTGAAATAGAAAAAAAAAGCTATAGCTTTTACATTTTCACTCATACTTCAAGTGGCTTATTAAATTACATGCTTCAGAAAATAAGAACCCATTACCTGATCAGAAAGTTAGAAAATGCATTTGTAGCTCTTTAGCTAACAAATACTAAGGCTGAGGAGGGATTTAAATGAACCCCTTTAAATTATATTCTTGGTTTCAAAACTGATGCAAACTGAAAGTCTCATATGCCTGGATGGAGTTAGTGATTACCTGACAGTAAAGAAAGAGGTACTATTGCAACTTTGGTACAGATGCCCCGTCTCTCATCTTGTCCTCATACCTTGCTGCCGGAAAAGTATCTCCATTTCAAATTAGGAAGAAAATCCCCTTAAGTAAAAAGGATTGTAGTTGAAGAATAGCTCAAGAGTTTTAAATAGAAGCAGAGAGACTGTGGCCCTCCAAAAATTCTTGGACTACAAGTTTCATCATGCATCACTATTTACCCTAATTCTACTTCCCCAAAAAACAGTTCTTTACTGTATATGGGCTATATGTACTGCCTAGGATTTGTAATGTGACTTGCAAAGTTGGCCCTTTGCAATATTAAGACTGTGTTGTCCTGCTTCTTGCTGGCTTCAAAGATAATGTCATTCACAACCCTTATTTTAAACTATCTCCTCTGTTTGCTGCTTGGGATGCTTTTCATCACTGAAAAGCAAGTCATATATTGAGTCAATTTTGTATTTTAACTATAAATAACCAAGACCTCATAATAAGCATCAAATGCAAAATGGCTATTTTAAGATATTTTAGCTGTTTACCTGTTGCTTCTTCATCAAAGCAGGCAAAGGCATTCCTGATTACATCTTCTGGATCAGTGCCATTTAATTTCTCTCCAAACATTGTAAGAAACATGGTGAAGTTTATGGGTCCCGGAGCCTCATTCATCATAGCATCCAAGTATTCATCTGTTGGATTCTTCCCTACAACCAAATATTAACATTTTAAAGAGAATTTATAATATCAGTTGCAGAATCAATTTTACTTCATGATACAGTCCTAAAATATTACAATACATACAATTTCTGTATCTGGGAAACAGAGAAGGAATTTTCCTTATGATTCCCCATACAGAAACAACTTAGCTGGAAAAAAAAGGAAAAACAGAATTACCAAGTGAAGCAAGCATATCATGCAGGTCTTCTTTGTCAATGAAGCCATCTCTGTTTTGATCAATCATGTTGAATGCCTCTTTGAACTCTTGAATCTGTGACTGATCAAACATAGCAAATACATTGGAAGTAGCCCGCTGGGGGCGCTTCTTTGTGGTCTTGGTCTTTGCCCTTTTGCTTGACATGTTGGCTGTTGGATTCTAGAAGAGAAAGAGAATACAGTTGCAGACATCTATAGTACAGAAGAGGAAACACATTATCTTACAATATTAGTTTGCCCAATTCAAGCTCATGATACACACGATTGTATATTTTAGTTTTAAATAAACTAGGTAAGCTGCTAATATGGACATTAAACATTCAGAAAAGGCAAACAGTAACAATAGTTACAGAGCTACAATGTTTTGGGTTTTATATGGGAAAACCTGGTTCACAGTCCTGCTTAGAAAAGATATTCACTGGGTGGCCTTGTGTATATCACATTTTCTCAACCGAAGTAACTTCACAAAGTAGTTGTGAAGTTAACACTGCACTCCAAGTTGCTTAGAAAGGATGGGCTACAAATATAAGAAATAAATTAAGACATTTATTACTTGAAAGTTTAGAACTAGCAATACTGATTTTCAGCCACAAAAGATTGTTAAGATTGAACAGAAAAGCATTTAGGACCAAAGTCCAATTTCTGTGATACTGGTTGAGTCCTTATCAAGAAGCAGCATGGGCTTAAAGGAATCAAATTCACATTTTTATTAGTGTTAGTCATCCTTGCTACTCTTAGTAAGAATAGCAAAAGCTTAGTAAGTGGTAAGACCTTAGTAATGACTTTCTCCACACAATTAAATTCTTCTGCAAATCTGCTTTCTGACATTACGTTCTTTGTAGAATTTAGACCTCGGGTCTTAAGAACATAAGAAGAGCCATGCTGGATCACGTTAAGGGCTAACCAAATGCCAATAGGAAATCCACATACAGTATGTAAGCCCTACTTTCCCATGTTCCCCAGTAACTGGTGTACATAAGCATACTGAAAGGAAGCCTGGAAACAAACTTGAAACCCAAACTAGTCAGTTGTTCTCATGGTCATTCAGATATACTGATCTCTTTGCTGCAATAAGATTGTGTTAAATTACCAATTGGTTTGATCAGTGGTTATCATCCAGATTTCCTAAGGACATACTCCAGTCAAAATGCCTGTAACTTTCTGAACACAGGGGGCTTACAGGAATCTTATTGAAAGCTGGAGGAGGGCACATGCAAAGGTCCCTTCTGTGCTCTTCACATTTGCAACTGTACTCAGGCTGATGATTTCCACTGTGTAATTAAGGTGCTTCAGAGCTGAAGTGGAAGCTGAGCTGCCATCAGGATACCACGTATGTTAGTGGTGCTGGTCCCCCTTCCCTGCCCCTTAAACCTGAGACTGTTTTTCTAAAGTCAGAGATGCACCCAATGCAGTTATTTCTGCACAAGCTGTGGTAGGGCCATTCTAAGCACAGTGATCTGGGTATGAGGTTGGAACTATTTCCAATCCTGTACCAGGATCTCCAAAATCTTTGTGAAAATTACAAGAGATTCATTTGGAAAGTAAGCACTGTAAATCATTAATGATGAGATAATCCCTGTTGTATCCCCATCCCTTTATGATCTGCTAGTTAATGTATTTAATCTATATTTCACATGACACTTCTAGCATAAGTAACTTAAAAATTATTATAGCTATATAATAAAAGCCTCAATGTTTTCATGTTTTTAAAACTCAGTTTATCCCAAGACATCAACTCTTTCTCTCTCCCCACTAAATGAAGATCAGCCGAAACAGAGCCACCCTTATGGTAACAACACAACTGCTATTGTACAGTTAATTAAACATTAATTTCAGTCCCACCCAAAGGACTCAATCAATACTAACATCAGCAGGACATTCTGTAACTCAAGCTTGTTAAATGTTCACTCTGTCAGTTAAAGCCAGCTACAGATCTCTACTTCTGATCTTATAAACAATATGCAACTAATTTATAAGAGAAAACTAACATGGTAATAAGTTTTCATAATATCCTACAGTCAATATTATGCAGTTTTTATAACATCTTCAAGTCAATCTTCCTGCAGTTGTTCGGGCCATCTATAAGGAACTTCTTCACATAGCCTCAGATGAAGTTACAATCATTTTTACTGTGTCCAAAAGCCCACTAGAATAGAATACTAGAAAACTGTTTCAAAAATCAAATTTGTTTCACCCTGATATTACGCACATATTTAGCTCTGTCCAGGAACATTTATGTTCATAAGCAAGTACCAGCTGTATTATTTTGCTAAATAAGCCTTACCATATCTCAATATAACACTGCAGCCCAACAGTTTACCACGCTCCCAAATGGCAAGAAAATCTGTAGCACATGAGTTATATTCTAGGGAGAGATCTACAAATAGTAACACTGATTTCATCCACTGATTAACTTCACAATTTAAAACTTGTGTTCCATTTACAACAGTCCTCTGACACAGAAGACGACAAATTACCATCTGACTAAAAATAAACTAAAGTACAAGTCATCTGAAAAACATTCACTGCCCTACAACCAGAATAGTTTAACAAGCACAATGCATTATCTGGAATCTTCAAGTACCTTCAGTTCTCTCTGACTTAAAATCTCCTCTAAGCATAAGCCAAATTTCTTAGATTTAAATTGAGTTATGGCCACTACATTCGTATTTATTCCACATGGATGTAATTTCCATGTAGAAGCATGTGTACTATATCTGAATATGCAGTGCATTCACTTCTTGTGACCACCATACTCAGTCCCGTCAACACAGCCCTATAATCATTCTTATTTATTCAAACCACTGATTATTTCAGCTACTTGGAAATCTATAAAAAAAAATCAAACAGAAGTTTGTGCAGTATGTGCAGGAGATGACTAGTCAAGATGCCTCCCTACAGGTTGAAATAGAAATGCACATGAGCAGTCAAACTAAGAAAATTTAAAATATTATTGCAGTGGATTTTACCTCAAAAACTGCCACTGGGAACCAACTAAGCTTCAACATGTGAAAAGTGTTGGACATACACCACAATATGTAACATTTTCCAAAAATAAAAACAATTTGCATTCCTAAGTATTATCATGAACACAGTGGATGGATTCAGATGGCCTGCCACAGCTCATTATGGGTTGACTAACCCACAGTGGGTCATGATTTCTGTGGGCTAAGTTAAACATGCTATCCCCACTTGTCAAAACTGGGGTTGTCAAAACTGGGAAGCATGGGCAGTGTAAGAATTAAGTATAATCCTCACATAACCCACGCTCATTGGATTCACAGAACACACCAAGCCCAGGGTGAGGGCTGCATATTCAAAATATGTAGGTTGTTATGTTGTTGGACCCCAGTATACAGAAACTAGTAAAGATGCAAAGGTTTTTGGGAGATAATATTCTCTATCAAATGATCTCTCTATCAACACCATAAATGTTAAAAATTATAAAGCCTGTTTATAGTGACCAAAAGTAACTGTAAACTTATGATTAGTTGGCCTATTTAAAATTCTGATCATCCCACTTTTATATAAAAACTGAAGCTAGAATGCTGGTCTTAGGAACAATTGTCTTGTATATTTTTCTTTTACATGCAAACTTCTGCTGAACATTTTACCATTACTATCAAGGAGTAACAGACACTGAAATATTTAGTAGACCCAAGAGATATCGGTATAATTCTGTCACTAATAAACAAGTAAGTTTACTGTAGATCAGTAGCCACAGAAACCAACACAAGTAAACCCAAAGCAAAAAGTGACAGGAGAACAGAGAACAGAATTTACAACACAGTATAAAGTAGACTGGTTCCTGATTTCAACCAGTCTGTTCCCTTCCTCATCCAGGAATGCTTAATGGGATTGTGTGCAGTGGGAGAGGGGTCTCCCTCAGTTTTTTTCCTCTTAAGATTTTTTTGTATGTCAGAATTCAGGAATCCCCCAACTCTGGTGCTATCTACCACTTGTACATGGGTGGTGTTGGTTTATTATGTAACTACTTGCACCTGGAGAAATTAAATTATTCCTATCAAAAGGTATCTGAAAGTGAAATACATCTAACTTCCTAGAATAACTTTTCCTTAATTTGTAAGCACCTCCAGACCAGTTAGCTATCTTTATGGAATTTATACCTTTTATTCTAGATTGTAAACAAGTACATGCCTAGAGTCCATTAAAGTTTATTTCTATGTGACCTGTCATAGCACCTTTCGCCTTTCAGGATGGGGAACAGGGTTGAGAACAACTTCCACAGAATTATTTTGCAGAGCTGTTATGTAGTCTTGGGGGGAGGGGGATCAAAAATTGTAAAATACTGTTAATAGTGCTATATTGTCCCAGATGTCCTTAACAGTTAAGTCCTTTTAAACAGTGGTTTACTGCCAGGATTTAAGGTGTTCTTCTTCAAACAAAGCAGACTCCCTGTGTGGTGCAACATAAACAGAGCCTACTGTATTAGCTTCCAGCTTCAATGTTACTGAGAACCCTATTCATATAAACTCAATAAACCCTAGAAAGTTATTAAAGACCTCTCATATCACTCTCCAGGTTACTGTTACAGGTCCACTGTAATATATTTGAGACACACTGAGCTCAAGATATGCAAACACTCTATTTTTACTCATTTGTCTCAGCAATTGTTTTAGTTCATATTTATATAGACCTTGTTATTCAAACAATATTTTAATAATGTTTAATATTTATAGGTTTTAAATGTGCAGCCAGGGTGTTTCCGGGTTTTAATTGTAATTGTTATTTATATTTATTTATTTCTGTGAGCCGTCCCGAGGCTATATAGCAAGGGGACGGCATATAAAAGCTTTTTATGGCTTCCTTTGGAATGCACTGCACAGGATGATCTATGAGGGCTGGGAAAATATTTCGGATTCCTAGGCACCAGCAACAAATGTGTGCCCAAGATTTTTCCACTCCTATTTTATATACCCACTATCACTTCAAAATAACCAACTTCCACATTTTCTCCTAGCTAGCTCTATTTTCATTAAGCTAGTTATAGTTATATGGCAACCTGAGAAAGTTTATGTAATTTATGTGTTGGGTGAGGATGAAGAGAGGAAAAAGATCTGCACTGATATTTGTATGATTATTCCTTTATGGGCAAAATTTTTGGTTTTGATCTTTGAAACAAAGCAAGGTAAGTGCACTTTGGTTTCACTTTCAGGTAGATATGCCTAAATTTAACAGTTCACTTAAATGATCAAATATCCTATCAATAATAGCTATGTTTGTCTGCTGTACCAAAAATTAAAACTTCTGGCTTGAAGAGAGTAACGCACGTGCTTTGCAACATCTCGGGCATCTCAGAGTAGGGCTGCCTGAAACCCCTTGAGAGCTGCTGCCACTCAGTGCAGACATACATGGAGTAATGGTATGCTCAGTGTAACAAACTTTTCTATGATCCTATAGATGCAATCATAGATGCAATTCCTGCCAACCTTGCAGTTCGAAAGCATGCAAATGCAAGTAGATAAAAAGGTACCACTTCGGTGGGAAGGTAACAGCGTTCTGTGCACTTTGGTGTTTAGTCATGCCGCCACATGACCACAGAGACTGTCTGTAGACAAATGCTGGCTCCCTCGGCTAGGAAACGGAGATGAGCACCGCCCCCTAGAGTCAGGCAGGACTGGACTTAATGTCAAGGGGAAACCTTTACCTTTACCTTATAGATGCAATGATACATATATTTCATTTCATTTTTATCTGAAACCCTTTTTGCTCTTAAAGCCACTCAAACACTGTTCTACAAAAAATTTGGAAGGGGCAGAGGAAAACAAGGATAGTTACTTGTCAGCTATTAAGGTCATGTTTCAGTGGCAATTTGAACCTGCATCTCCCCATCTTAACCCTATACTCAAGCCACTCTATCATATGAAAATAAGTTTTGGTAGTTTTTAATATGCTACAATACTCCATTTCTTGCATGAGGAAGGAAACTTACAAGACACAGTGCAAATAAGTTTGAAGAAATATAGCCAGTGGACTTGCAATTTCTTGATAGCGGTCACAGTTCACTACGTAAGATTTGATTCAGAAAGCCCTCCTGAAATCACCTGAAGATGAAATCATCTAAACCACTATGCTTCCTTGCTCAAGCGGACTACAGCTCCGAGCATCCCCGAGTCAGCATAGCTGGGTTAGTGGATTCCAGAAGTCGTAGCCAACGCCTCTGCAGGTCAAGCTCCACAAGACACATACTTAAACTAGGCCTAGGAGGATCCATCGGGCTGCGTTTCTACGGCTACGTCCTTACAGCCTATTTCGGCGAAGTACAGAGCAGCCTCCCCGGGAAGATCACAAGCTGGAAAACGACCCTTTCCGCCACCACTTATTTTTAGACTGTTTAACACACGAAAGAATGAGATTCTGATGAGAGTCTCTTACTATCACCTTGATTACGCACGCAATAGTTAGCCACCCACATCATCGGCCACACTAAACAAAAAGGGGGATGGATCAAATTAACGCTCCCTGTGCCAGCTGACGAATTGTGGAGCCACGAGCGCTGGAGAGAAGAGGCAACGATGCAACGGTTCAGACTCCTTCGCCGTCCCAAGGAGCGGCCCTCCCCAGCCACCACCGCCATGACAGCCGCGCCCTGCTCCGACGCGCACCCGAGGAAACACTGCGCTGACCCAGGGCAGCGAGGCCCAGCAGAGGAGCCTCCCTCAGCGGCGAGCCGCTGAAGCTCAGAAGCGCCAGACATAATCGCGGGGGAAAGTAGGGGCACGCCGAGTCAGTCCCTTCTCCCAGATGCGCTCGCCCACCAATCAGCGCTCGCTCGCTCGCTCTTTCTTCTCCCCTCGTTCTCTCACCTGAGCCGCAGCGGAACAGATTCGACTTCAGGGAACCCGAGGATGCACCAACGGCCCCAGCGGAGACAAGGAATTGAACAGCCTCGGTACTTCCGGAGAACGCAACGCTGGAACGAACTATTGTTGCGAAAACGCAGGAAAGGGAGAAATGGAAAGAAACTACACTGACAGTGAGAAGAAAAACTAAGCTATAAACCAGACAAGGATCGGAAAATATTATTCTTGCCTTCTTTCACTAAGGTCTATGATGTTTTATGCCAGCAAAAAAAACTCGTAGGAAAGGATAATTGGTGCAGTCCTTCCCTCCGACCTTGGCTGTTTCACTTGGTACAGTCCCGTGCGCTCACCGCATTCCAGAGGATGGGGCGTGGTCAGAAGGGAGGGGGGAGTTGAGAGAGAACGAGAAAGGGGCTGATGACCTTGTAAGGAAATCGAGAAGACTTTCCTGTTTGTCCGTAACGGCGCTGGTGACGTCACAGGACCCGCGCGGGTCAAGGTGACGTATTTGAAGTAGGACGCCCAGGAAGAGCAGGGCAGGGGAGAGTGATGCAGCTGCGACTTCCTGGCTTTCCAGTGGCAGGAAGTTCCGTTTTCTCTTTCTCTGCTGTGCTTTGACCGAGTGCTTGGAACATCAACTTTAGCAGGGCTGCCATTTCAGATGCTAAATAGGGAAGATGTGACGACTTTGCACTTCCCATGTAACTACAGAGGGTTGCATCTAATGTTAAAGGCGCTGCTGAAGATTAGCCGAAGTAACATGGAAGAATATTTAATGGGCAGAAACTCGCTTCTTACAGATATGAACGCATAGGGCAGAGTCCCCGACGCTTCTGCAGGCTGCTCAAGTGTGATCATAAACAAATGATGTTGGAAAGAATGCGGCTGCGATTCCCACGCCAGTGTTTCACTGTAGCCCACTGAAATGGATTGCTATTTCCTATGATCTATCATTAAGATAAAAGCAGCAAATAATTCCCTGAAGTATCACTGGGTTCAGAACATTATCTTGGAGAAACTCCAAAACTGCTCCGAAGTTATGCTGTTTACAGTCAAGGGCCCTTTGAATTTTATTCATGCAATAACGGCATAGTTTACTTTCATAGGATACAGAGCTTTTAATAATAACCTTAGAAGACTTTCTTTACCCAGGTATGTTTTCTGAATGCACCAAACATAGTGATGCATTCCAGAAAATATAGTAAGCTATTCTACATACAACTAAGAAATTTTCATTATAGCCCATTACAATATCACTAGTGGAACCCATTTGGATGAAAACAAAAGCAGGGGGAATTTGTCTCCTGAGGAAGTGAAGCAACCCCCAGCTCCCCGTTGTTTCTATAAAGCTTGAGGAAGGGGCAAGAGTTGTTCTCCAATGCAGAAAGATAGCAAAAGTAGCAGAAACACCATTTCTTTTTGGCCTTTTCCGAAGCTTTCTGTAAGAGCTTACCTCTTCTTAACAGCTGTCTGTGCTGCCTGAGATGAGGGGAGAAAGAAAGACTTCTGGCATGCAGAAAGCATTGGAGAAGGACAGAAATGGTAGGCTTCTCCTATACTTTCCGATGGCAAATATGGTGGGAAAGCGGTTGGGAAGGAGGCAATTATGGGGAAAATGCAAAAATATCCTAAAACATTAATAGACACGATTTGAGCTGAGCTCTGATAAAGTTTTACCTCTTCCCTTCTCAGTACAAACTTGAACCCTGGATAAACGAGTAACACAAAGACAAAAAGATTAAAATCTGCATTAGTAAATTGAACAAAGTACATTTATGACCAGAGGCAAATAAATTTCAGTGGGTTTATAGCGAAAGTCCAAAAGAAGTTTCTGTTGCAAATCAACCAACCAACGCGAACAAGTTTAAATCATTTACCCTCATTCTGCCAGCAGGTGGCAGAAAAAACAATTATGCACCGCATAGTCACAACCCCCAACGACTATTAACAATCTCAATAAGGGGTTGGATATATATAAAATACATCACTAAGACCCATGTGTAGTACACCATATTGAAGCCTTTGCACATTTTCCTAAGGAGTAAACACGGAGTTAAATCAGTGTTGCAGGACAGATAAATTACATGCTAGTATGTATATTGTGCATATACATGGCATAAATCCACTGAAACAGGGTTACCACTTAAACTTTACCAGAGACTTCCCTAACATAGTGCTTTCATCTTGCCCAGCAATTGCCCATATTGAGTGGGGATGGTGGAAATTGTTGTCCAAAATGCCCAAAAGGCACCAAGTTGTGGAAAACAACCTTAGCATTTTAAAAGGCAGAAAAGAAACAGATGAGAAAAATTAAAACCCAAACCACAAGTTGCTTTAAAGAGGGAGCTAGTGTTTACCTCTTTATCTTTTTTACTCCAGTGTAACACATATAACACAAATAACACAAAATGGACCAGTATTTGGCAATGTAAATTGCAAGAATTGAGACTGAACTTCAGATTAAAACTGCAATGAAAGGAGAGGGTTAAAATTTATTTTAGCATAGCCCCTTACTAAATCTTTAAAGTAATGTGTGCTTTGGCCCTTAAGTAGGCATATGTAATTGATTTACTTTTCAAGTGGAATGTGTTTAGGATTTTGATGTACAAAAGGAATATTTTGGAACATGTCTGATTTCTGTGGTTAATGACAGAACCTCCAGGCATCAGTATACAAGCTTCTTCACCAGAGGAAGGTTTGATTGAAAACCACAAATGAAGAAGCAGGAAATGCAAATATTTAGCTAATGGCGCACCATCTAAAATAGTAACTCCCTGGGGTGTCTGGAAATGTTGGAATGAACCATAGCCCTTTGAAGAGCCTGCAAGACAAAAATAAAGGCACAAGGCTTCACAGAATAATCAAGCAAAGCAACTGAAGAAGAAGAAATCTCCTTTATGAGGAATCTCATCTACAAAGTACATTACTACATTGGTATAAGTATGGTATTTTTAGTAGTGACCATGGAGCTAGAGCTTAAAATGTAAAGTTTTGCTAATCGATATGAGAAGTCCCCTCCCAGAATCAAATGTTTGCTGTTATGTGCTGTCAAATAATTCCCATCTAATGGGAACAGTATGCATGAAAACTCTCCAAAATGTTAACATAGAAACATAGAAACAGAGCAAGTCAGAAGGGGCATCCCAGGACATCTAGTCTGACCCCCAGCTCCAGCCGGCTCCACTCACGACATGCCCACCATGTGCATGTCCAGCCTATCTTTGAACACCCTCACCGATGGGGCCTCAACGACCTCCTGTGGACATCCTATTCATGACAGCCCTGTCATGCTCTTGTAAATTACAGGTAATGGCTTCCTTTATGGAATGAATCCAATTAATATTTGGTTTTCATTGTTTTCTTCTGCCTTTGATTTTCCCTAGCATGATTATCTTCTTAAGGGAGTTTGCCTTCTTATGATGAGCTCAAAGTATAATAGCCTCAGCTTCGTCATTTTAGCTTCTAGAGGAAGTTCTTGTTTGATTTGATCTAGGACCCACTTGTTTGTGTTTCTGTCAGTCCAAAATATTTGGAAAGCTCACTTTCAGCATCATGTTTCCAATGCATTCATTTTCTTCCTATCACCTTTCTTCACTGTCCAGCTTTCGCACCCATACATGGTGATCAGGAATACAATAGTGTGAATGATCTTGACCTTGGTCTCCAATGAAACATGCTTGATGATTTTTTTAGTGCCTTCATTGCTGCCCTTCCAAATCTCAGTCTTCTTCAAATTTCTTGTCTGTAGTCTGCATTTGAATTGATGACTGAATTAAGTTCTGTTGGTTTTTTCATTGTTCTGTATTTCTTCTGTAATCCTTATATTTGTTCTCTTAATATGTAGCTGCAGTCCTGCTTTTTACTTCCTTCCTTCATTTTCATCAGGAGTCATTTCAATCATTGCTGCTTTCTATTAATAGTATCATCTGCATGTCTTAAATTATTGATGGATTTTCTGCCATTTTTTACATTTTCCACTGATTCTAATCCAGCTTTCCTTATGATACTTTGTGTGTACAGGTTGAATAGATAAGGAAATAAACTACACACTTCTCTGACACCTTTGCCTATGGGAAAGCATTCTGTCCTAATAGTAATTTCTTGTCCATGATATCGGTTATACATCAGGTCAATCAAGTCCTGAGGCAGCACCCCCCCACACACACCCCCAATTTCTTTCAGGATTATCCATAGCTTCTTGTGATTCACTCAGTTAAAGGTTTTGCTGCTGTTTATAAAGCATAGATTGATCTGAAATTCTTTGGTGTGCTCCAGTAGGCAACATATATTTGTGATACTGTTTTGAGTGCCTTTTCCTTTTTGAAATCCAACTTAAATGTCAGGTATTTCTTGCTCCATGTAGGATACCCTGAACATCACTTTGCTTGCATGGGAAAGCAGTGCAATGGTCAATTTTCTTGGGGATTGGAATTTATTACGCATGCTTCACTTTGTAGGCCATTGGTTTTTTTTCCATATTTGTTGTCACATTCTTGTTAAGATTCGGACAGATTCAGTCTCTGCAGCTAAGAACAGTTTTGTTGGTTTCCTGTCTACTCCAGGTGCTCTATTCTTTCCAAGTGCTTTTAACACAGATTTCACTTTCCTTTCTAATACTGCAGGATTTTCCTCATAGAGTTCCTCTTTGAAAGAGTTTGTCATCATTTCATCTCTTCTACATAGTTCATCTGTATATTTTTTTAATTGTTTCTTTATTTTTCCTGGTCAGATAGTATTTTCACCATTTGTCTTTTAGCATTCCTAAAGTCACCCACCCATACATACAAAATTAAATTTTGTAAAAGCAGGTATATTTGGAAAGCCTGGAAAAAAATGGTTTCTAAAATTTAATTAAGTCTCTAGTATTTGGGCCTTTGTGGAATTACTGAAAATCTAGCTGTTGGTTAGATAAGGAAGAAACAAAGGCATGTGAAAAGGGGAAAGGGAAAGTAGCAACAGCAACGATTGTTACTTTGTGAATCAGTTAAGTGAGATAACCTGGTGCAAAAATGGTTGCAGTCCATGAACTCAGGAAAGTCATCCTGTCATTAAATTAGTGCAAGGTATTCCTTTGTGCTGGAGAAGGTTGCTGTTCCACTTATAAGAAATGGTTGAAGATACTATCACATAAATGCAATAGTGCAAGCATGTGTTTAGACAGGAAAAAGTCTT